TGCTCCCAGCGCGGGGAAGTTCCCTCCCTCCTTCCAGGAAGCCTGGCTGGGTTCAACTGTCCGCCCCTCTGCTGTGTAATTTTAAGTAAAGCTCTCCACCTCTCTGAGCCGCTGTGTCGTGTCCTCCTCTGTAAAACAGGACCTTTAGGGAAGATAACCTTGCCTCCTAGGGCTGTTGGGAGGATAAGACGCAAGGAGGTCCTGGAAGAGCGGCACAGCCATCTGATAGCTATGGGACCTGACTTCTGGCTTACCCCTGTAGTCCCAACACTTTGGGAGGCTGAGGTGGGAGGATCGCTTGAGACTAGGAGTTCAAAACCAGCCTGGACAATATAGTGAGACTCTCTCTCTACAAATAATAATAATAATAATAATAATAATAATAAATAAATAAAATTAACTGGATGGGGTGGTGCACACTTGTAGTCTTAGCTACTCGTGAGGCTGAGGCAGGAGATCACTTGAGCCTAGGAGTTAGAGGCTGCTGTGAGCTATGATCGCAGCACTGCACTCCAGCCTGGGTGCCAGAGCCAAGACCCTGTCTCCCAAAAACATAATAGTAATAATAAATGAAATAGCTGTGAGAAGCAATGCTGCAGAATCCAGACTAGGGTAAGATCAGCGAGGTACTTGCCAAGATGCAAAATGTAAGGGCAAACGAAAAATCTCCATAATCAAGATAAATAATGGCAGGAAGTGGCAGCTCACGCCTGTAATCCCAACACTTTGGGAGGCCGAAGTAGGAGGATGGCTTGAGTCCAGGAGTTTGAGACAGCCTGGGAAACATAGTGAGACCTCATTTCTAAAAAAGAAACAAATAAATAAATAATATTTTTTAATTAAAAAAAAATTTTTTTTGAGACGGAGTCTCCCTCCTCGCCCAGGTTGGAGTGCAGTGGCGCGATATCGGCTCACTGCAACCTCCGCTTCCTGGGTTCACACCATTCTCCTTCCTCCGCCTCCCGAGCAGCTGGGACTACAGGCTCCCACCACCATGCCCGGCTAATTTTTTGTATTTTTAGTAGAGACTGGGTTTCACCATGTTAGCCAGGATGGTCTCGATCTCCTGACCTCGTGATCCACCCGTCTCGGCCTCCCAAAATGCTGGGATTACAGGCGTGAGCCACCACGCCTGGCCAATAAATAAAATGTTTGTACAATATTGTTAAAAATTGAAAATTACTGCCAACAAAATCAATGATGAACAAACTATGAAAAAATTAAAGACAGGACTGGGATTAGAGTGAGGCAAGTCAGGTGAAGACTTTAGTGTACCAGGTGGGATCCAGTCTTTCTTTAAAATTTTCATGTGTTGTTCATTGTGGATATTTTGCATTAATTTTTGAGTCTTAAAATGTTGCATTAAATACTGTTTATCTTGATTACTGAGTTTTTGGTGCCCCTTTAACTTTAGCAGCTGAGCCGACCCTTCGCTCTGGTCCCTGCCCTGGGATGCAGTCACAAGCAAAACCTTCCAGAGCCTCAGTTTCTAATTTGCGAAATGGGGCTGAGCATGACTATTTATAGGGATGTTTTGAGAATTAATAAGCAGACAGCATAATTAATAGTGTCTGCTCTAGAATTGGGGCAAGTTCAAGCTCCATCTCTGCCACTTACTAGTGGGAGGAGTCACAACATTTCTGTGCCTCGGTTTCCTCATCTGGATGATGGGGGCACTGCCTGTGTTTAGTTCCCAGAGGTTACCAGGAACTTAACTATAATAACACTCACAAATTCAGTGCATGCGTGACGCACAGCAAGACTTCAGTTCATGTTGCCGCCATTCTTATTTGCATAGATATCCTTAACCTTGACCATCCCTGGTATGGCACAGGCCCTCAATAGCTAAAATTCATGGTAATATGGGGATTACTTGACATCATTTTTGCAAGGGGCCTGGCACATAGTAGGTGCTCAGTTGACTCTAAGTGCTGCAAGAGCAAAGACCACTTCTTTTTATTTATTTATATATTTAATTAATTTATATATTTTTTGAGACAGAGTTTCGCTCTGTCACTCAGGCTGGAATGCAGTGGCAAGATCCAGGCTCACTGCAACCTCTGCCTCCGGGTTCAAGTGATTCTCATGCCTCAGCCTCCCAAGTAGCTGGGATTACAGGCACACACCACGACGCCCGGCTAATTTTTGTATTTTTAGTAGAGACGGGGTTTCACCATGTTGGCCAGGCTGGGCAGAGTCCACTTCTGATTTGTTCCCCATCATAGCCCTTTAATAACCTGCACATAATAGGTCTGCAGAAATATTCAGAATGAATCAATGCAATTGTTAAATGATGCAATACAGTGCCCTCCATCTTTGGTTTCAGGAACGGTTAGGAAACTTTATTCTTTCAATGACCCACCATCCTTCATCACCCTGTGTAATAATAACAATGCCAATGACCCAGCGGTGCCTCCTCTTACACCCTGTGGAAAGGGCTTGCTCTCTGGACCACGCTTGGGTAGCTCTGATTCTCAAAAACCCCTTCGGAATGACTCCGAAAGCTTTCATCTTTGGCCCCTTGGCCTTGCAGAGAAAGCTAAAGAAGGACTATAGAAACGCACTTCTTCTACAGCACCTGCAGCCAATTTCCTGGCATGCCCAAGGGCCTAAAGCTGCCCCTACAAAAATGTCCTTCATCCCACTGAAAATTGCAGACATGGCTTTGGGAAGTGTGCTAAGGCTGTCCCAGTATTAGGCTTGGGCTAGCCACTTCATTAATGTACTTACCTGCCTGGCCGCTGCGGGCATTTGAGGAGTAACCTCTGGCTCGTCTGAAACTGGCCTTACTTAGACCCCAGGATCTGGCCCTCCCTGCCTCCTCGCCTCCAGCCTTCAGACCCTTGACTTTCAGCAAGGCACGCATACTGTGGGGTTCTCAGACTAGTCTTGGCTTTTGGCCTTTCTTTGAGATTTGGCAGCTTGCAGAGGTGGTCCTGACCATTGTGTGTGCTAGTCTGGATCCCCAAGATCTCTCCCTAGACCCTTTTGGGGCCGTTTGCAGGGACCAGTGATGTCTTTGAGGCTATGTTTAAGACAGGAAGGAGTGATGTGGGTAGATGGGTCCACCCTCATTCATCTTTTTGTGCCTAAGGCTTGCAATTTCAGATGACTAGCTAGCGTTGTATAGATGAAAGACACAGATGCAAAGCCAGCCCCTCATTCTCTTAGCATTGAGGTCCAATCAGCGTTGATCCTCAAAATATGTGTGTATTAGTCAGTTCTCATGCTGCTGATAAAGACATACTTGAGACTGGGGAATTTACAAAAGAAAGAGGTTTTTTCGCTTTTTTTTTTTTTTCAGACGGAGTCTCGCACTGTTGCCCAGGCTGAGTGCAGTAGTGCGATCTTGGCTCACTGCAACCTCTGCCTCCTAGGTTCAAGCGATTCTCCTGCCCTTCTCCTGCCTCAGCCTCCCTAGCAGCTAGGACTACAGGTGTGTGCCACCACACCTGTCTAATTTTTTGTATTTTTTTAGTAGAGACGGGGTTTCACCACGTTAGCCAGGCTGGTCTGGATCTCCTGACCTCGTGATCCACCTGCATCAGCCTCCCAAAGTGCTGGGATTACAGGCATGAACCACTACACCTGGCCAAGAAAGACGTTTAATGGACTCACAATTCCACATGGCTAAGGAGGCCTCACAATCATGGTGGAAGGTGAAAGGCACGTCTCACATGGTGGCAGACAAGAGAAGAGAACTTGTGCAGGGAAGATCCTCTTTATAAAACCATCAGATCTCATGAGGCTTATTATTCACTATCATGAGAACAGCATGGGAAAGACCTGCTCCCATGATTCCATTACCTCCCACCGGGTCCCTTCCACAACACATGGGAATTGTGGGAGCTACAATTCAAGATGAGATTTGGGTGGGGACACAGCCAAACTATATCAATGTGTCACTTAGAACAACAAGGGCATTTGATCAGTCAGAATGGATCTTGGCTGCAGCATGGAAGCAGGATCCTGGAGGTCCCCTCCCTGCTGTACCAGAGCACCATTATCCTTTTAGTTGCTGAATGGTGCAGAGGTGCCTGGGGTCTTAGGAAGGGTGGGGTGGGCTGGCATAGCCAAGGTGGCAGGATGGCACTTAGGGGTTCAGGGAGGCAGTTATTTAGCAAGTGCCTCAGACAGGAGTATTCCACCATTAGCATCATGTCACTGTATCAGTGCATCCCGGTGAATGTCAGCACTACCTCTAACCATCAGGACTGACATTACTCCTCCCCGACCAGATCCTGAACCCCATAGGGTTGGGGCTGTGTCGTACCCCCTTCAGAGCCCAGCATAGGGCCCCCCAAAGAGCACACACACTGTACGTGTTTGTTGAAGACAGAGGGATCCAGGAGTTCTTGGACATTAATGAAAAAACCTGGGCTGATGACACTCCATAATGATGCCTGGAGCAAGTTAACTGTCTGCCTAATTATCCTGCTGACTTGCTGGCTGCCTGTTTTTTAAAACAGCTGGAAGTTTGGGGTTTCAGGATTCCACTGTATTCGTTTCAGTGTCTTCTGCAAGGAACTTACCTGTATCATTTTGAAAGCACAAGAGGGTCTACTCCAGTGAATTTTAACATGCACTATCTGGGTCATCTTGCAACCAACGCTTTTCTTCATTCAAATAATAATCCCAGGCCAGGCGTGGTAGTGTACACCTGCAATCCCAGCACTTTGGGAGGCTGAGACAGGTGGATCACTTGAGGTCAGGAGTTCTAGACCAGCCTGGCCAACACGGTGAAACCCTGTCTCTACTAAAAATACAAAAACTAGCCAGGTGTCATGGCACGTGCCTGTAATCCCAGCTACTTGGGAGGCTGAGGCATGAGAATCACTTGAACCTGGGAGGAAGGGGTTACAGTGAGCCGAGATCGCACCACCACACTCCAGCCTGGGTGACAGAGTGAGACTCTGTCTCAAAAAAAGAGAAGAAAAATGATCGCTTTATAGGGTATATTCATTTCCTTGGGCTGCCATGACAAATGAACACAAACTAGGTGTCTTAAAACAACAGACATTTATTTTGTCATAGTTCTGGAGGCCAGAAGTGCAAAGTCAAGGTGTGAGCTGGGTCATGCTCCATGTGAAGGCTCTTGGTGAAGATCCTTCCTTGCCTCTTCCAGCCACTGGTGGCCCCAAGATGTTCCTTGGCTTGTGTCTCCTTTGCTCCAATCCCTGAGTGCATCTTCATGTGGATGTGTCAAATCTCTGTCTTTTTCTCATAAAAGACACTTGTCATTGGATTTAGGGATCCAGGATGATTGATATGGCTTGGCTCTGTGTCCCTGCAAAAATTTCATCTTAAACTCTAATCCCCACGTGTTGAGGGAGGGACCTGATGGCAGGTGATTGGGTCATAGGGGTGATTTCCCTGTGCTGTTCTCTTGATAGTAAGTTCTGAAAAGATCTGATGGTCATATAAATGTTTGATAGTTCCTCCTTTATGTACTCTCTCTCACCTGCTGCCATGTGAGACGTGCCTGCTTCCCCTTCCACCATGATGGTAAGTTTCCTGAGGCCTCCCCAGCCATGCAGAACTGTGAGTCAATTAAACCTCTTTTCGTTATGAATTACCCAGTCTTGGGCAGTTCTTTATAGCAGTGTCACAACAGACAAATACAATGATCTCACCTCAGGATCCTTAATTATACTGCGAAGACCCTCTTTCCAAAAGAGGTCACATTCACAGGTGCCAGATGTTAAGATGTGCACACAAGTTGGTGGAGGAGGGGGACATTGGGTCACCATTCAACCCCATTGCAGAGGGACAGAAACCTTGCCTATTTTGTTCATCTGAATCCCATGATAAGCACAGTGCTAGGCACATGAGAGGCACTCAATGAGTCAGGGGGGCCTAGAGTCAGAGAGGGAAGGAGATGTATGCTCTTTTTTATCTTATTTATTTTCACTGTATGCTTTCTTGCAATGCTTGAAATTTTTTCACGTATATATGCATTATCTATTCAAATAAAGAGACACTGAATATACATACACTAAAATTGTTTTTTGGCTGGTTGTGGTGGCTCACATCTATAATCCCAGCACTTTGGGAGACTGAGGTGGGTGGATCACCTGAGGTCAGGAGTTTGAGACCAGCCTAGCCAACACAGTGAAACTCCATCTCTACTAAAAATACAAAAAAAAGCTGGGTGTGGTGGTGGGCCCCTGTAATCCCAGCTACTAGGGAGGCTGAGGCAGGAGAATCTCTTGAGCCCAGGAGGTAGAGGTTGCAGTGAGCCAAGATTGTGCCATTGCACCCTAGCCTGGGTGACAAGAGCAAAACTCCATCTCAAAAAAAAAAAAAAAAAAGGCCGTGGTTGCACATGTTCATGTATTTAATACCACCGAATTGCATACTTAAAATGGTTCAAGTGGGCCGGGCGCAGTGGCTCACGCCTGTAATCCCAGCACTTTGGGAGGCCAAGGCAGGTGAATCACGAGGTCAGCAGTTTGAGACCAGCTGGCCAACATGGTGAAACCCCGTCTCAACTAAAAACACAAAAATTAGCCAGGTGTGGCGGCGCATGCCTGTAATCCCAGCCACTCAGGAGGCTGAGGAAGAAGAATCACATGAACCCGGGAGGCAGAGGTTGCAGTGAGCTGAGATTGTGTCACGGCACTCCAGCCTGGGCGATAGAGTCCATCTCAAAAAAAAAAAAAAGGTTAAAATGACCTGGCATAGTGGTACACACCTGTAGTCCCAGCTACCCGGGAGGCTGATTGCTTGAGCCCAGGAGTTCTGGGCTGTAGTGCCCTAAACCAGTTGAGTGTCCACAGTAAGTTCAGCATCAATGTGGTGACCACTTGGGGGTGGGTGACCACCAGGTTGCCTAAGGAGGGGGGAACTGACCGAAGCTGGAAACAAAGCAGGTCAAAACTCCCATGTTCATTAGTAGTTGGCACCTTGCCCCATGAATAACCACTGCACTCCAGCCTGGGCAATGTATCGGGAACATATCTCCTAAAAAAAAAGAAGAAGAAGATGAGTTAAAGTGGTGTATTTTGTTATGTATGGTTTACTAAAATTAAACATGCAAAAACATTTTATGTGTACCTACTATGTGCCAGGCACTGTGCTAGGCTCTGGGTATATAACAATAAGCAAAGTCAGATGCAGGCCCTGCTCCCATGACACTTTCAGTTTAGTGGGGCAAAGGGGGAAGAAATTAGCACTCTCAAACATCACATGATTAAAAGCTGAGATAAGCGTGCTGATGGAAAGAGCGTACAACAGATTGCACCTGTGCTGGGGACCAGGCATGCTTACCTGAGGAAGCGATGCTTGAGCTTCACAGAAGGGATATGCAATTTACCTGCAAGAGGAAGGGAGGTAGACTGCTGCCGTCAGAGGCAAGGGGCAGAGTCTAAAGAGAGAAAACTGGAGGAACTGGTGGGGTTAGGTGGGCCAGGTCGTGCAGGGACGGGTGTGCTGGTAAATGTTTAACAACCAGCTCCCTAGGAAAAAGCAAAAAGGCTGGGATTAATGTTTGCCAATTTCCGTAGTGTAAATACTCCCGTTGTGGCCGATTCCAAGTCACCAATGTGACGTCAATCAGCTTGCAAAATTTCTGATACTTTGACAATCTGCTCTGACAAATGGATACATGTGCACTCCAGCAGACGGCACCGGCCACAGAGAAGAGTTGAGTCTTCCTGCTGAGAGCAGCGGGGCAGCTACTAGTGCAGTGAGTGTGGAGGGGATGAGGGAAGAGGAGGTCATGCATTTCCTCAACATCACCCTGGCTGCAGTTTAGAGAGCAGCTTGGAGGCAGTTAAGGCCAGGGGAGCACCTGGCTATGGTGCTCAGATGGGTCCAGGTGAGAGATCAGGGCTTAGATCAAGGTAGTGACGTGAAGATGAGAAAGGAGGATGGATTTGAGAGACGTGTAGGTGATAAAAAGCACCTGTAGGCCAGGCATGGTGACTCACACCTGCAATCCCAGCACTTTGGGAGGCTGAGGCAGCTGGATCACCTGAGGTCAGAAGTTTGAGACCAGCCTTACCAACATGGTGAAATCCCATCTCTACTTAAAAAAAAAAAAAAAAAAAAATTAGCTGGATGTGATGGTGCACACCTGTAACCCCAGCTACTCAGGAGGCCAAGGCAGCAGAATCCCTTGAACCTGGGAGGTGGAGGTTGCAGTGAGCTGAGATTGCGCCATTGCACTCCAACCAGGGTGCAGAGTGAGGCTCTGTCTCAAAAAATAAAAATAAATAAATAAATACAAAGCACCTGTGTCATGTGGGATATTGGATATGGTTGAGAGTGATTTGTGGGAGGGGCTGATATCAAGAGTGATAGCTTTTCTGTTCAGGACGTAACTGCAGTTGACCGTCTATGACCACTGTCACCTCCCAGCAGTGCTCAGCAGCCTTTGAAAGGAGCAGCTGGCTCTAGGAAGAGCTGGGTGGTGCAGAACAAACTCACTGACTACACCCTGCATTAAACAGGCAGAAGGCACACAGGCACGCAGCAACCCACGTGGGGTCCTCATTTCTGGCTCCAGGGGAGTTGCTATGAAAACGTACAGCCTCCAATTTTAAATTCCCTGGTCTGACAGTCAGCAGCCAGAACAACTGAAGGGATATTTGCATCTCCAGCCCCTCCCTCTCAAATCCCTAACCAAATGCAGCCTTGCACGGTAGGAAAGTGGCAATTCCATGACAGGAGACCCAGCAATGCCTTTAGCCACCATGCAGCCTTCAAACCTCAATTTCTTCATCTGAAAAATGGGGATGATAATAATATTATTAATAATATTACCTGTGGGCCAGGGTTGGTGGCTCAGGCTTGTAATCCCAGCACTTTGGGAGGCCAAGGCGGGTGGATCACTTGAGGCCAGGAGTTCAAGACCAGCCCACCCAATGTGGTGAAACCCTGTCTCTACTGAAAATACAAAAATTAGCCAGGCGTGGTGAGCCTGGGAGGCAGAGGTCGCAGTGAGCCAAGAACGCACCACTGCACTCCAGCCTGGGTGACAGAGTGAGACCCTGTCTCAAAAAAAAAAAAAAAGAACAAAAAGAGAACTAGCCATTACTCTCTCTCGCTCTGTCTCTCTGCAGTGTGAGGATACAACTGGGAACTAAAGCTGGAAGATGCCAGACATTCAGCAGGGAGTTCCCTCAGCAGCAGCTGGCTAACTGGGGAACTGAAAGTCACCAGGCGTTCGTTTCTGATAGCTCCATGAAAATCCGCTCTGGGTCAGAAATCAATCTTTGGAGTTCTGAACATGCAGCTTTTCTCGTGGGCCCTTTGGAGAACAATCAGCTACTCAGCCATCAGAGCCTTTCTTGCTGGACGGCAGACAGGAACTGACACGAAACCATCGTCTCTACAGCACACAGAAGATCAACACCAAGTCTCCATTCTCGGAAAACGTGTGTCCACGCAACTCTCCCAGGGGAGGTCTGCGCTGCAGTGGAAGGCCCCAGGAGCGTGGGAGCCAGCTCATCGCATGAAGGAAACACAGAGTTGTACCTCCAGGAATCTAATTTGGAGCTGAGACCTATTCCTCTTTTGGCAGAGGACGCTATATCTTTTTTTTTTTTTAGATGGGAGTCTTGCTCTGTCGCCCAGGCTGGAGTGCAGTGGTGCCATCTCGGCTCACTGCAAGCTCCGCCTCCCGGGTTCACACCATTCTCCCTCAGCCTCCCGAGTAGCTGGGACTACAGGCGCCCACCACCATGCCCGGCTACATTTTTTTGTATTTTTAGTAAAGACGGGGTTTCACTGTGTTAGCCAGGATGGTCCCAGTCTCCTGACCTCGTGTTCTGCCCACCTTGGCCTCCCAAAGTGCTGGAATTACAGGTGTGAGCCACCGCGCCCAGCCCAGGACACTAGATCTTTATCCCAGGCTTGTTCTGTGGGACACTTTGTGAGTTCCAGCATCGGCTGGTTCATGAGAGGCACCACTTCATGTGCAGTGTTCCCTTTTGCCTCTCCTCACATGCTACCAAAAGCAGCTGGTTCAGTGGTCACTGCCATCTTCCCTTGTCCCTGAGCTTTGGAGATGACTGCGTTTCCTAACCTCTCCTGCAGATGCCAGGCAGAGCGGTGACGTGATGCACGGTGGATGGGGAGCCAGGATGCCCGCCTCTGCTACCAACACAGAGTGGGAATTTGCACACCTCACATCGTGTCAGTTTCCAAGTGCTGCTGTAACCAATTTCCACAAAGTGGTGGCTTAGAAAAACAGACATGAATTAGCTCACAGTTCTGGAGACCAGAAGCCTGAAATCAACGTGAGGCTTCTAGGGGAAGATCCTCACTTGCCCCCTCCCAGTTTGGTAGTTCTGGGTGTTCCTTGGCTTGTGGACTCATCACTCCAGTCTCTGCATCTGTCTTCACATTGCTTTCTCTGCTTCTCTGCGTGTCCGTTCTCTGCATGTCTGATTTGTAAGGATGTGAGTGATTGCATTTAGGGCCTACTTGGATTATCCAGGGAGATTCCCTCATCTCAAGATAATTAACTTAATCATGTCTGCAAAGGCCCTTGATCCCGATTACATTCACAGGTTCTAGGGATTTGATTGGGATATCTTTGGGGTGAGGGGGGATATTTTTCAGCCTGCCACACCCACTTCCCTTCTTCTGGCCTCTTCCAGAAAATGATGGTCCCTCTGAGCCCCAAGTTCCCCTTCAGCTTCGAAATTCTGCAGGTGATCCTCAGACAGCAGGCTGTACCTAGCCTGAATTGCCAAGTTCACGACAATGTTATCTCAATAGAGTTTCTGATAATTTTTCAGAGCACTTTCCCATCTGTTATTTTGCTTTGTACTCCTGATCACCTCTTGGGGCACACAGGGCAGTTAATATTAAACCCATTTAATTGATGCAACAACTGAGGCCCAAAAACTCCTAACTCACTTTCTCCTTGAGTGAGTCAGCTAACGGGAACCAGGAGCAGGCCAGGTGATTTCCCTGGGCACGCTTTTGTTTTTTCCTCTCATTGCATATAGCCTCTCCCCACCATGGGCTTTGTTCTGGAAGCCCAGGAAGGTGGGCGAGTCAAAGCTTGTCGTGTAGATCCAAGCCCACCCTAAGTCCCTGACTCATACCCCCTGGGGAGTGTTGCAGGAACTTCATTTGAACTCCCTGTGGTCCCAGGTGGCAGGGAAGCTCCCGGTCTCTGGCCGCACACTGTTGAAGGCCTCTTCTTCCCCTGGGTAGCTTCCCAAGCAAGGGGGTTTTCCCAGACCTCAAGAACTGCAGGGCTATTAGGCATTCGCAGAGCTAGACAGACCTGCCTGGCCTCCGGGCCAAAAACAGATTTCAGTTGTTTCAGGACAGATCAAATTCAGGACTGGAAATAGGGCTGGGGAGGTCTTTTTTTCCAAGTCTCACCTGCCTGTGACTCGCAGATCTGGACGAAGAATTTCCTGTCCTAGCTAGGCCTCAGTTTCCCTGAAATAACTTCGATTAGGTGGGAGGGGCGAGGGTGGGTAGGATTTCCCCTACCCCCAGCCCTTTTTAATCTAATTCAGAAATGAGGATGAAGAGATAATTACAGCTAAGTGTTTGGAGTTTTGAGAAGAAAGATACAACAGCCACACAAGGTATTATTAACTTTATGACTTGTCAGGAAGAGGTGGGGGAACCAGTTAGGATTCGGCTAGATGAGAGGTGAGTGTACTGCATTACAATCTCTGGAGGGTGTGGTGGGCGTGTGAGCTGGAAATGACCATTATTTATTTATTGCTTTTGTTAAGTGCCTATAATGTGCTGGGTGCGATGCTGGATGTGTGTGTAACACAGACACATAAACCATTCAGGGTCAACCTTGCGTGGGTGGGAGGAAGTTAAAAGCACTCGCATCTTCTTCTCCCTGAAAACAGAAGCATCTTCCTCCTTGGCCTACCGTGGTGCCAGCAATCCCCAGCATTAGCGATGGCTCCTTGGGGGCAACCTGCAGAAGCTTCTTATTACCTTGGAGGAGTAAGGCAATCACCGGCTCACTAATAGTACACAATGATTTCGCTCATTCCGTCCACTCTTGGCCATTGGTGCAGCAGGAAGGGCCTTGGGGTCCTCCAGTTTGGACAGTGGGGAGGACTTGGCCCTGGGCTGATGGATTGCTGCTTGGCAGGTTTATGGGAGCCAGGCGTCAGCCTGGTGTGACGTGGGGAGGCAAGAGTCAATGCCAATGCAGGCAGCCCCCTGCCACCAAGCAAAGCAGCTTACAGACTTTGGAGAGGAAACAAAACATCTACATGCAAATGTTGAACCAGATTTCAGAGCAAGAGAGCAACTTCAAGAGCCAAAGCAGTTCCAACTCCCAGGTGTCTAATACCTTTTCAGCTTGGGTGGATCATGGATCTCTGAAAAACTGAGGAGAGAGTCTTGGATTCTCTCTCTGTCTCTCTCTCTTTCCCCCTCGGCCTCCCCCTCTCTCTTGCACCTTCTTCTCCCTGCAAACAAAAACAGAG